TGGAGATGATGGCATGCGCAAGGGGAACAAGAACGGAGTTACAAGTGATGATTTCAGGACTTTGAAGCCACCATAATGGGTGCATGAAGCCTTGGACGAAATATACAAGATGCCACTTCATAAATTTCGTCCCGAGGCTATTTTAGGTGCTGCGTCACCTTATTATTGGGCCAGGCCCATGTAATTTCGAACTACATAAGTATAGGCTATTTTTAGAGTCCGTATGTGTGGGGAAACAAGAGATATGGTTGATTTCGGACCCCTCCACCAAGGGCCACGAAATTCCCCCCTCTTCCTCCATATATACAGCCCTTAGGGCATCGTTTAGACTTTGGGTTTTGTTTAGATTAAAAGTTCGCCATAGCTGCAACTTCGCGTACTTCGTTTGTGTTCAACGACCAGACAAAGGCGTCACAGAACCCCACCTTGATCAATAAAGCTTTCATCTTATATTCGCAATATCCAGATTGCAATCTCAGTTTCTTGCTTGTTCTTCGTTTGCTCGCAGGAAACAGACCCTCGTGGTCAGGTTGATCGTGCTCCGGCATGGTCAATAACCTCTCGGAGTTGGTTTAGCGATTGCTAAGGCGCGACGTCCTCGCACGTTCGTAGTCGGATCGTCAAAGTCGACTTCCACCAAAGCGAAATCCACCATCTCATCGAAAGACGGGACACCTTTGCCTCTATCAAGTTTCCTAACCATTGACATGGGTTGTCATTTGATTAACGGGATCACACCATTAGGAGAATGATGTGATTGACTTGACCCATTGCGTTAGCTTAGCACCCGATCGTTTAGTATGTTGCTATTGCTTTCTTCATGACTTATACATGTTCCTATGACTATGAGATTATGCAACTCCCGTTTACCAGAGGAACATTTTGTGTGCTACCAAACGTCACAACGTAACTGGGTGATTATAAAGGTGCTCTACAGGTGTCTCCGAAGGTACTTGTTGGGTTGGCGTATTTCGAGATTAGGATTTGTCACTCCGATTGTCGGAGAGGTATCTCTGGGCCCTCTCGGTAATGCACATCACTTAAGCCTTGCAAGCATTGCAACTAATGAGTTAGTTGTGGGATGATGTATTACGGGATGAGTAAAGAGACTTGTCGGTAACGAGATTGAACTAGGTATTGAGATACCGACGATCGAATCTCGGGTAAGTAACATACCGATGACAAAGGGAACAACGTATGTTGTTATGCGGTCTGACCGATAGAGAGCTTCATAGAATATGTGGGAGCCAATATGAACATCCAGGTTCCGCTATTGGTTATTGACCGAAGACATGTCTCGGTCATGTCGACATAGTTCTCGAACCCGTAGGGTCCGCATGCTTAACATTTCGATGACAGTTATATTATGAGTTTATATGTTTTGATGTACCGAAGGTTGTTCAGAGTCCCGGATGTGATCACGGACATGACGAGGAGTCTCGAAATGGTCGAGACATGAAGATTGATATATTGGAAGCCTATGTTTGGATATCGGAAGTGTTCCGGGTGAAATCGGGATTTTACCGGAGTACTGGGAGGTTACCGGAACCCCCCCCCCCCGGGGGACTTAATGGGCCTTAGTGGGCCTTGGTGGAAAGAGAGGAGAGGCGGCCAGGGCATGGGCCGCGCCCCCTCCCCCCTAGTCCGAATAGGACAAGGAGAGGGGGGCGGCGCCCCCCTTCCTTCTTCTCCTCCACCTCTTTTCCCTCTCTCTCCTAGTCCAACAAGGAAAAGGGGGGACTCCTACTCCCGGTAGGAGTAGGACTCCTCCTGGCGCACCCCTCTCTAGGTCGGCCGCACCCCCCCCCCTTGCTCCTTTATATACAAGGGCAGGGGCACCCCATAGACACAACAATTGATCGCTTGATTTTTTTAGCCGTGTGCGGTGCCCCCCTCCACCATAGTCTACCTCGATAATACTGTAGCGGTGCTTAGACGAAGCCCTGCGTCGGTAGAACGTCATCATCGTCACCACGCCGTCGTGCTGACGAAACTCTCCCTCAACACTCGGCTGGATCGGAGTTCAAGGGATGTCATCGGGCAGAACGTGTGCTGAACTCGGAGGTGCCGTACGTTCGGTACTTGATCGGTCGGATCGTGAAGGAGTATGACTACATCAACCGTGTTGTGCTAACGCTTCCGCTTTCGGTCTACGAGGGTACGTAGACAACACTCTCCCCTCTCGTTGCTATGCATCACCATGATCTTGCGTGTGCGTAGGAATTTTTTTGAAATTACTACGTTCCCCAACAAAGGCCACATAGCATAGCAGCAAATAATGTATGAAGAATATGTGGAAAAGGAAGTTGTGGAAGGAAATTTCAGAAGGCAGAGACCTACTACCCCAGTTGAGCGTAGAAGAGCAGTGTTAATTGTCAAACCTACCAAGTAAAATATCTATCAATTTGATGGTCTAAACGTTAATGCTTGGAGACAAAACTTGGAGCAATATTTTGCATCCGCTAGAACTCCTTCAGAGCACATAACTGAGCTAGGTATATCCTATTTGAAAGGACCAACTATACAATGGTGGAGAGGCACATGGTACACTGCAAACAATATGCCATGGCATTGGTTATGTACCTTTTTTCTATAAAGGGCACTTTTATTATCTTAAAATGTAGCATCAAGTGGATACAAAACATTATGAGTACCACCCGGCCTCTAGATAATTAGGATGCACACGGCCAAACAACAAAATTCTGGCAAAAGGAAAAGTAACAAAAATGACAAGTCAGCAACAATAGAGTCCTATAGACCGACACTATGCCTATGTCAAAAACGAAGGTAGATCGATTCGGAGGTTATAATGCCATCCATGTTGGGAAAAAACCTCCATAGCCGCCTGCTCCAACCGTGTACACACCACCTTGAACAACGGTTAGTGCTCCGGTCGTTGTAGTGTAGACCACATACGAAGCAAGTGCATACAACGGAAAATAATCTGTAGAGGAGCATTTTTCTCATTAAAAATTAAATCATTTCTACATAGGCAAAGCGACCAAAGTAAGGCATACGCTCCCTCCCTTATTAGCGTTTTGAACTTATTTGAGATACCGTCCAACCAATGACCAAATATATTGGCAATACTTGTGGGCGGATACAAATTTTACGCTATTTGGATGACTGGCCATGTAGAACGTGCAAACTTGCATTGGAAAAAGAGGTGCTTGATTGTCTCGTCATGAGCGCAAAAGCAACACTGCTTACGTCCTGGCCAGTTGCGTCGTGCAAGGTTGTGTTTGATTTGCACAACTCCCCTACAAAGATACCACATGATGATTTTAACTTTTAGTGGAATCTTTGACTTCCAAATTTTCTTGTTATTACTCACTGGTACCTCAGAATGCATTAGTGCACGATACATAGAGTCTATTATGAAAGACCCCAATGTAGTAAGGTTCTAGCTAAGAACATCCCGGCCTTGTGTCAGGTTATCTACCTACTTGATTAAGAGGTTTTCTATGACGTCTTTGTGTGATAATGCGAAGACTTTCCATAGTCTAGTGCAATCATCTACATTGGCTGATTACATTGATCCATTTGAGCAGGCTATGAACCTAATGAGGAGAGACAATCCAGCCATTCCTAGAGATTACTACGTAAGTAGCTTTGTGTCAAGGCTATCTCCTTATATTCCAAGTCACATGGAGTATTTAAAACCAAGAGATATGCATACTGCAATTTGGTATGCTAGAAGTAGTGATTCAGTGAATCTTCTACATTATCACCTACTAGGTTTTGTGACCACACAATTCCACTCACAACAGAGGCTAAAATTATGAAATCATTATGCAGACCAAAACAGTAGCCCGTACCCCTCTCCAGCTTATTAGTGAAAAAAAAAGATGGGTATTGGAGGCTTTGCACTAGCAAACTCAATGTAATTACAGTTAAAAGAAAGTACCCTATACCAATGATAGAAGACCTTTGGATAAATAGAAAGGAGCAAAAGTATTTTCAAAGCTTGATCTGAGAAGTGGATATCATCAAATTCTAGATGGCCTCTGAGGATATATCCAAAACTGCATTCTCTATTGATATGGGCCTTTATGAATACATAATTATGCCATTTGGGCTAACTAATGCTCTTGCAACATTTCAATCCTTAATGAATGCAATATTAGCTCGTTATCTAAGAAAGTTTGTGATTTGTGACTCACAAAATCTGTACTTACGGTTACAACTCCACACTGGCTTAGAGAGCAATGTTGCACCTTATGTGTCGCCCACCCTTTCAACTCAAGTAATAACTCACACTAATAGTAAAAATTTGGGATATGATATTTTGGGACATGGTTCCACATGCACCCACTATGAATAGTAAATGCGAAAGAAAAACTAAAAACGAAACTGAATCTTTTTGTAGTATACATGATCGACCATTCTACTTGAGTACGATGTTTCACAAAGAAATGACACCCATGGCAATCTGGGCAAAAAAGACAAAATCTGTGCTATATTCAAAAACACTATTTAAAGGAACAGTAACATCAGATTGTACTTTCTTCACTCCAAAATACCCCAATGTCAGTTTGATATCCCAAAATTTCAGATTTTTTGTTTATTTCTAGTATTTTCTTTGAATTTATTATTCATGTGGGTGCGCGTGGAACCATGTTCACCTGTGTATTTTCGTACAAATTTGTCTCTATTACAAGCACATGTTTAAAACACAAGCCATTAGAATATACGTATGGAACAAAATCAATACCTACCTTAATGAAAAACCCAACAATAATTTGTGCTTTAACAACAAAAGTTGATATGGATACAAACATAAATTTATCATCATAAAACAATAAGAAACTTATATGGCATGTCAAACACCTAAATTTTTGTTACACTAAAAATACCATAGTATGCTTTGCTCAACTACTTAGCACTACTAGTAAAATTCAACAGCGTCCCAGTGGCCAAACTATATCACTTGTTCCGATGGATCCAGGTGAACACTTCAGACAGTAGTATCTGGAAAGCACAACCCTCTCATATACGAGTTAGGTGGATCCACCGGGCCTCAATATTTCGCCCAGATTCACATGCAGGCTGTTCCTCATGGTTCTCCTTCCTGCCCCAACAGCCCCACTGGTCCCACTGGAGCCACCAGCATTACCCTTTCTCATCATAGCCGCAAACTCACTGTAATCAATTTGTCCATCCTACAAAATTATTTATATGTCAAGTGATAAGTCTATTATAAGTCACAGCTGAGAAGAATGGAGTGGTGAAAAACAATGCTAAAAAGACAAACATTATTTTGATCCACATCCTTGATCATATCCTCAAGATGAACGTCAGAAAGGCCAAATTTCTCGCATGCTTGCGAGAGCTCATCAATCGTTATAAAGCCACTTCCATCTTTATCAAAGAATGCGAATGCTGACACCAAATTTTCCTCCCTCTCCAGTTTATTCACATGCAATGTAGCTGCTAAGAATTCACCATAGTCGATGGATCCGCTGTTGTCAATATCAGCCTGAAAAAGATGGATAAAACTCGATGGTGCGTACTACTATCTAAAAAGTGCTGGACTGCAATTACGACCTATGGACTCAACAAGACTGTAGTACTAACCGCATCCATCAAAGACTGGATTTCAGGTTCCATTAGATCGGATCCCACCCTTTTCAAGCCATCCTTCAGTTCTTCATAAGTTATTGTCCCACTATTGTCAGTATCAATCATTTTAAACAATTCTTTTAAGCCACCGATCTCCTCCTCAGATAGACTTTCAGCAATGACCTGCAAGAACACAAACACGCTTGGTCCCTGAAAAGATCAAGGTACAAGATAATTCACGTTGCACTTTGCTGCCATCTTTATTCAGCAGTTGCAAAAATATTACCACATTATTCTGCGAGATGCCACTTCACCAAGAGTCCAAGCAAACAAGATTGTACAATCATACAAATCACAAAGAGACAAGGCCCACTGACAAGATTGGTACACAATAATTTATATTTCTTATTAAAATCTCAATTTCCTTCGTTACATATGCGTGATAGTTATGAAATAATTTCACTTGAGACTTCCATTTTCAGTGAACGCATTCTAGTCAGTGTTTGTATGTATAATAGAAGTGTCAGAAAAAGGAAGCAATAATGTAATGTTGTAATAGAGCACTAACTCTACTGATGTGCAAAGACAGAGTAGTGAATTTAGCGTGCAATGTCTGCTACATGTCACTAACAGGACAAAAAGATTCCATACCCTCAATGCCATCTTCTTCAGCTTGTTCATTGCAGAAAAGTGTTTCAGCCTTGACAAAACAGCAGAATCAATAGGTTTGTCAGGTGCAACAGAATCATCAACAATCCATGGATGACCTGACATGGGAAATGCCATTGTTATTACTTCTTTCAGATAATGGAAGGGAGAACCTCCCCCGTCTCTGCATCCGGAGATGCATGCAGCATTGTTATTATTAGTAAAAATACACTTATGTGACACAGGGAAGGACAGAGCAAGACTTACACAGAACCTCATGAGCAGTCTCTCTCTTTGTAGGATCACGGATAAGCATCTTACGAACTAGATCTTTAGCACTATCAGAGATACTAGGCCATGGTTCAGTTTCCAAGTCAAGCTTACCTCGCAAAACCTGCTTGAAAATTCCTGTTTCGCTTTCTGAGAGGAGAAGAACAGATTTTATCCACTCAAACATGGTAATGTTGGCAAATGATAATAGATCTAGACCTAGCAGTTCAATGGTTCGAACAGTAAATAATCTACCTGCCCAAAACGGAGGTACACCACACAGCAAAATGTACAGAATTACTCCGGCACTCCAGACATCAGCTTCTGGGCCATAGCATTTTAGAAGCACCTCAGGTGCAACATAATAGGGACTCCCAACAACATCTGCAAATTTATCTCCTGAAAAACGAGAAGGGAGAGTTTTCATTGTCAACAAACTTTTAGTGCAAGTTCTATTAATCATTTCATTTCTAGCGAAATAAAATGGTAGACCGCATTAACTCAAGATTCCATTAACTAGTCACTATGCACTAAATTAAGCATGGCAGCGCAGGTGCGACTTTGACAAATTCTGTTCTGCTAGCAACAAAAATTTATCTTGACAAAATATTAATCACTAAGTTGTCCCACATGTCCTCACATACACATTTAACAGCTCCGTGAAGCAAAGTTCCTTCAGTTGTCTAGTTTTATTGACTATAAAACTGTATCTTGTTCTTGTTTCTGTAATTCTGTTTCACATTCTTTTGCTGCTCAGTGCCCATGTATGGAGCCAGGAAGTATTGTTATTTGGCATGTTATTGACTCGATTTTGTAAACATGTGGGTGGCCAGAGATTTAGCTGCACCGACATGTTAACAGTGTATATGTTCTAGAAAATATTAAGCAACGTCTTGTAACACAATCAAATTTTTTGCAGTGATGTCATTCTTTAAAGTGCAACCCTGTGAACATAAGCTCTCCTGTCTGCAGCAATTTTCAGCGTGGAGGACAAAAAGAATCCATACATCGCAGTTCGCAATACAGCTTAACATGTACGAGTACTTTCATATCCTACGAAGTTGTGTCTCATGAACTAAGGTACTAGTGGATTAGTTAGCCGCGCTGAACTTTGGCTTTCTTTCAAAAAGAAAAATTAACTATGGTACAGTAACACAACAGTAAGCACATACGTAGAAGCTAGATGTCCAGCCCATGGAAGGCCATATACCCAAAATTGCTAATGTTTCCCAGCCAAAGTCAATAACTGGAAACCACTTTCATAGCCCACAATATTGTACTGTACCATATTTGACCAATATAAGTATTGATACCCATTTACCAAACTTATCCTCTAATCCAGGCTAGAATTACTTATTGCGACTTTATGAATTTCCATCAGATTATTGGGCAACATTACAAAAAAATATGGTTATGTAACATACCTCCGTTATGTAAAAGAGTATAAAATTGACTTCAAAGATCAAAACAGTCAAACCACATAGCATTTACAGTGCTCCCACCGTTGTACTAAATCAAATCAGCTACAATTAATATGGATCGGAGGGAGTAGCATTATTGATTTTCCGTCAAACTACCATATCATATTGATTTTTCGTCAATTAAATATAAACCATATGGATATTTTCATTCCTCAACTGAGCAATCTATTCAAATGGCGTATTGATAAGGTTGCCGTAAATACCAAGATCAATTTAACACCAAGAGCATCGCTAATTGTTGCATCAATCAAATCAAATAATTTAACGAAATAGCAACCAACCAGGCTTGTAGAAGACGGAAAGCCCAAAGTCCGTGGCCTTGAGTGGGGCGTCCTCGGCCGTGCTCGCGAAGAGGAAGTTCTCCGGCTTGAGGTCCCGATGCATGACACCGAGCGAGTGGCACCCCTCTACCACCCCCACGATCGTCCTGATGAGTTGGGCAGCGGCACGCTCGCTGTAGTGCCCCTTGGCCACGATGCGGTCGAAGAGCTCGCCGCCGGCGCAGAGCTCCATGACCAGGTGCACGAAGAGGGCGTCCTCGTAGGCGCCGCGGATGCGAACCACATTGGGGTGCTCCGACAGGTGATGCATGATCTGGATCTCGCGCCAGACATCCTCGTAATCCTCGCGGCACAGCAGCTTGCGCTTGGGGATGGACTTGCACGCGTACTCGCCGCCGTCCTCCTTGTCCACGCACAGGTACGTCGTGCCGAACTGCCCCTGTCCCAGCTTCTTCCCGATGCGGTAGTGGTCGCGCACGTTCGCCGTCTTGTGCGGCAGCACCGACGCCGGCCGCCCCACCGACGGCGCCGTCACCGGCGGCGGCAGCCGAGCGTGCGCCTTCTCCCTCCCGGGGCCTTTAGGGTCCGGCTGCATTGGAGTCGACAGCTGCGGCTCTCCACGGGATCAAGAACCGTACGGGCCTCCCTTCCCACCCCTTGTCAGAAAATACCGCGGCGAGCCACGCCAACAACCGATGGGAAATGGAAGTTGTCTCCCGCCTGCGTCCACGATCCCTGGTTTCTTTCCTAGGAAATTTACAGGGATTGCGATTGAACAACTCACAAAACGATCGGATCTTGGAGCGGGCCCTCTTGCCTTGGGGGATTCTTGGCGGAACAGATGATGATCAGAGGCTAATGAAGGAGCTTTAGGGGAGGTTTATGGCGGCTCCGCCGTCCGAAGAGCGGGGAGAAATGTGTGGCGATGGGATTGCTCTGTTCCTCTTCCTGGGTGGATCCTTGCAGGAATTCCAGGTGAGACCGGTCACACGCGAAGATTGAATTCTCGCTCCATGCGTAGTTGGAAAATCTATTGGCTTCGATGGCTCGTTGGGTCACGGGGGCGATTGGGCTTGCACATGGGGATGAATTGTTCGGGCATGGGCATGTGGGGGAGCATGGCGGTGGTTATCTTATTCTCTTCCGTGAGAGGGATGGAGGAGAGGATGGAAGGAAGAAGAAGGCAACCGTGGTCGGAAACTTCTATTCCGAGCCTTTTTTGTTTCTGATATTCTTTTTCTAAATAGTTACAGTTATGTCACATATGTTACTACTTATGGAGTACGTACTTCTTTATTTTTCGTTTCATTTGCATCATACAATACTTAAAATTACTTTATATTTATACTAGCACCATGAAAAACCATAAATGTATTTTCTAGAAACAGGACTCAGTGGAATTCTTTTCTTAAAGCATAATGCAATTTTCAAAAATACATATTACAAATTACAATGCTGTGAATCAAACAACTATCCGTACAATATAAAGAAATACAAGTCCCTGACATCTAACACAACAGACTCCCTTTTGTTTGAAGCTGTTCTATTCCAAAATATTGCTTGATTTTATCATGATTGTTGATAGGAAAGTAGCATTTCATAGCGGTGTACTTCCACGGTGAACGGATCAGATGTTAGGTGGCCAAAAGTTTCGTGGTTACTTTATAGTTAATTTCATTTTGACAAAACAACTGTGAATGGATTAATTATTGTCAAAGAAATGCATGAAGGAATCTGGGCGCTGAAGGAACTATAAAATAGTAAAACTCAGCAATCCACGATTTTCCACAGCGATTTGACGTCAACAGTAGTTGAATTATGATTCCCAACGTCCTATATCCTCCAAGCATCCACGATGCCTTCTTGGCTCGTGTCGGGACCCCGATCCTAAGTCACAACGATCTAGCATAAAACATATCATATCACTTTACGGCCTCATGCACGGTAACCCACGGCTGCCGCCTTTACCTTGGCTGGGACCGTTTACATCTTTTGGCTCATGTATATGATTGTGATGCTAGCATCCATATGATAGAGAATCCGGGTCGACATGACAAGTCATAAACCAAGGTGGCACAAACGTAATCGGATAGGCATGGCTAACCCAGCAATGCACATGGCAGTCATCAATGTATATGAACCGAAGTCATAGCAAGCTACAAGGACTTAAAGGAACAATGCATGTCATTTCCCCGTAGGGACACACACAGGAGCAAAGAAGGATACATGCCGGTCAATCCATGTGTTCCGGAGTAGTAGTGAACTACCAAGGCTCAGTGGAAGCACTAGGAGGCATTTCCCTGTAGGAAAGACAGATAACTAGGTGTTGAATCCCACACATAACAATGCATTTCAAACATACACACAAATAGGCACGATATGTGTAGATACAACATGGCATCACAACATAACTCTACGATTCAAAGTATTTATTTAAGAGGCTCCGAAGAGCCATACATAACATCACATTATAAATAGGGGTCACATGACCCATCATACAAAGCATTGATACGTCTCCAACGTATCTACTTTTTCTCACGTTTTTCCTCTTGTTTTGGACTCTAATTTGCATAATTTGAATGAAACTAACCCCAGACTGACATTGTTTTCAGCAGAACTACCATGGTATTGTTTTTGTGCAGAAATAAAAGTTCTCGGGATGAAACGAAATTTTTTGAAGATTTTTTATACCAATAATAAGAATTTTTGGAGCCAAGACCCACCGGAGAGGGGCCCCTGGGTGGGCACAACCCACCAGGGCGCGCCCCCCTCTCCTGGCACGCTCAAGTGGGTTGTACCCACCTGGTGGCCCCGCTGATGACCCCCCTGATACTATAAATTCACATTATTCTAGAAAAAAATCAGGGGGAAAGAATTATCGTGATCCACGAGACGGAGCCGCCGCCAAGCCCTGTTCTTCCTCAAGAGGGCAGATCTGGAGTCCGTATGGGGCTCCGGAGAGGGGATCTTCGTTCTTCGTCATCACCAACCCTTCTCCATCGCCAATTCCATGATGCTCCCCACCGAGAGTGAGTAATTCCTTCGTAGACTCGCTAGTCGGTGAGGAGTTGGATGAGATTCATCATGTAATAGAGTTAGTTTTGTTAGGGCCTGATCCCTAGTATCCACTATGTTCTTAGATTGATGTTGCTATGAATTTGCCATGCTTAATGCTTGTCACTTTGGGCCCGTGTGCCATGATTTCAGATCTGAACCGTTTATGTTATCATTATTATATCCATGTTCTAGATCTGATCTTGCAAGTTATAGTCACCTACTACGATTATGATTCGGCAACCCCAGAGTGACAACAACCAAGCCCACTCACGGTGATGACCGTAGTTTGAGTTCATGTATTCACTATGTGTTAATGTTTTGTTCCGTTCTCTATTAAAAGGAGGGCTTAATATCCCTTAGTTTCCAATATGGACCCCGCTGCCACGGGAGGGTAGGACAAAAGATGGCATGCAAGTTCTTTTAATAAAGCACGTATGACTATTTATGAAATACATGCCTACATTATATAAATGAACTGGAGCTAGTGCCGTATCACCCTAGGTTATAATTGTCTCATGATGAATATCATCCAACAAGTCACCGATCCAATGCCTACGAATTTATCCTTATTGATTTTGCTGCGTTACTACTGCTACCATCACTATTACACTTGCTAAAAAATATTGCTACCACTGTTACTGTTACCGTTGCTACTGTCACTACTATCAAAACTATCAAACTACTCTGCTACTGATCACTTTTCTGCAGATAATTAATCTTCAGGTGTAGTTGAATTGACAACTCAGCTGCTAATACCTTCAAATATTCATTGGCTCCCCTTGTGTCGAATCTATAAATTTGGGTTGAATACTCTACCCTCGAAAACTATTGCAACCCCCTATACTTGTGGGTTATCAGGACTTTTTTCTGGCGCCGTTGCCGGGGAGCATAGCTATATTTGTTAAGTCACTTGGGATTATTATCATATTATCACTATGAAGAATCTGAAGGATCCAAATACTAAGATATTTCCCTCAAGGACGAGGGAAGGAAAGGAACTGCCATCCAGTTCTGCTTTAGATTCACCTTCTGTTATGAATAAACTTGCAACACCACCACATGCTATTAGTTCTGATATGTCGCAAGTTATTGATGATGCTACTTCTAATATGAATGATGCTTATGATGATGCTAGTACCTTTCTTGATAATGATGATGTGCCACTTGGTGAATTTCTTGATAGACAAATTGCTAGAGTTATACAACATGATGTTGTTGAATCTGATGATGAGCTTGAAATTGAATCTCCTAAAACACCTGCTAGAACTAGCCTTCCTAGATATGAATTGCCTAAGATACCGAAAGGTTATGTTATGAGTGAAGAAGCAACTAGAGATATTCTTGCTTGCAATGATAGAGATGATCTAGAGAAATTACTACACAAGTATAAAGAAAAATCTCTGAATGCTAGACTGAAATGTGATCCTAAGTTTGCTACTTCACCTATCTGTATTGATGATAAGGATTATGAATTCTCTGTCGACCCAGAGTTAATTACTCTGGTTGAATCTGATCATTTCCATGGTTATGAAACTGAAACTGTTGTGGCACATCTTACTAAGTTGAATCATATAGCCACCCTTTTTACACATGATGAGAAAACTCGTTATTACTTTATTCTCAAATTATTTCCTTTCTCATTAAAGGGTGATGCTAAAGCTTGGTACAATACTACTCTTGCTCCTGGTTGTGTGCGTGGTCCCCAGGATATGGTTTATTACTTCTCTGAAAAATATTTTCCTACTCATATGAAACAAGCTGCCTTACAGGAAATATTTAATTTTGTGCAAACGAAAGAAGAGAGTCTCCCACAAGCTTGGGGGAGGCTTTGCCAGTTACTTAATGCTTTGCCTGATCATCCTCTTAAGAAAAATGGAATTCTTGATATCTTCTATAATGGACTAACCGATGCTTCTAGGGACTTCCTAGATAGTTGTGCTGGTTGTGTTTTTAGGGAACTAACTATTGCTCAAGCTGAAGAATTGTTGAATAAAATAATGAAAAATTATGATGATTGGACTATTCCTGAACCACCGCCTAAACCCACTCCGAAGAAGAGGGGTATATTATATCTCAGTCCCGAAGATATGCAAGAGACAAAGAAATCTATGAAGGAAAAAGGTATTAAAGTCGAGGATGTTAAAAATTTACCTCCTATTGAAGAACTACATGGGCTTAATACACCACCAATGCCTAAGGTGGTAGAGGTAAATTCTCTTATGAAGTTTAATGAAAATGACAATCCTCACAATATGCATCCTAGCCAATGCCTTTATGAGTTTGAAAATTATATTAGAAAACAAGGTCACTTCAATGCAAATGTTATGAAACAATTGAAATATAATTCTGATATGATTGCTCGCTTGAGTGACTTGTTATCTAGAATATCAAATGATGTTAGAGGTGTTGGAAAACATGCTTCTATGGTTCAAACTCAATTAGAACAAGTTGCTAAATCTCAAAGAGAATTACTTGATGAAATGAATCATAATATGCATGACTTTGCTGTTAGAGTTGCAACTAGAGGAGGTAAACACT